CCAATAGAGAGAACAATTGAAAATTATTAAGATAATAAATAGCAAAAGAAAGTGACTTTGACACATCCTTTTAAAATTTTCACCCATCCCAATTTATATATGGGCATCAGATTGAATAAAAAAAACAGAATTAATGACCATAATTAAACAAGGGTCTGCAAGAGGCTATAATAAGAGGCTAAACAGAATTTGTGAAAATTAATTGCCAAAGAAAATCAATTCACAACGTAACGTACCCAAAAATTTATTGAAAGTCTTGCCAACTAGTCCACAAAATAAACTTGTACCTGCATTGAAATTCCAGATTGTCAGCAAAGTCTTCAATGAATATGTTACCAATTAGTTATATCATGTTTAAACCACGTAACATGGTACAAAAATATGATCTCCTTAGCATTCCTCAATATGGTACAAAATGGCGGTAAGTTTCTTTGCAAAATCAATAATGCTTACATAGCCTCCTTGTGCCTACACATTTATAATGTTGCTGGAGGTGAGTTTCTTTGAAATCAAAATCAACAACTCTAACCCACATATGAAAGGCCTAATAAGTGATGGATTGCCTTGGTGTTTAGGCATTCTTCTTCAACTCATTCACTTCCAAATTTAAACTCTCTTTCCCCTTAGTGTAGATTAGTGTACAATATCGACTTTAATGAAAAGATAAAAAAGGTCCCAAACTTCTAAATATTTCAGATAATTCCAAAACAAATGCAATAAGCAAACTTTAGTACCACTAAATTTGATAGCTTTGAATAATGTTCTAAAAGCCGCCAGTCAGACAGTGAGGCTTAGTTGGTTTTTTCTTGATTTAATTAAATTATTATATCTTGTAAATAAGTGTCTATGTGTAATACATAATTGTATTGGAAAACATAAATTGCACCATAAAATGATAGATAAATTATAAAGTACTATAACATATTGTGAACGTATGAAACAAGGATACAATGTGTTTATTCATGTAGCATCCCACATCGTCCAGGAGAGTGGATCATGTAAGCCTTATATGTATATTCTCATCTCTACCTAGCACGAGGTCTTTTAGGAGCTCACTGGCTTCGGGTTCCTATCGGAACTTTGAAGTTAAGCGAGTTCACGCGAGAGCAATCCCATGATGGGTGACCCACTGGGAAGTTCTCGTGTGAGTTCCCAGAAACAAAACCGTGAGGGCGTGGTCGGGGCCTAAAGCGGACAATATCGTGCTATGGCGGAGTCGAGCCCGGGATGAGGTGGGGACCCGAGCCAGGATGTGACAATTTGGTATCAGAGTCAATCCCTGACTAGAAGTGTGCCGACGAGGACGTCGGGCCTCTAAGGGGGTGGATTGTAACATCTCACATCGCTCAGGGGAGTGGATCTTGTAAGCCTTATATGTATATTCACATCTCTACCTAGCACGAGGCCTTTTGGAAGCTCATTGGCTTCGGGTTCCTATCGGAACTCTGAAGCTAAGCGAGTTCGTGCGAGAGTAATCCCATGATGGGTGATCCACTGGGAAGTTCTCGTGTAAGTTCCCAAAAACAAAACTGTGAGGGCGTGGTTGGGGCCCAAAGCAGACAATATCGTGCTATGGCGAAGTCGAGCTTGGGATGTGGTGGGGGCCCGGACTGGAATGTGATACTTCAAGTATTCAACAAGTTTCTTATAATTTATTAAAAACATAAAATGTAAAATAGAAGTTACCTAATTTTTATTTGGGAGAGAGTTGTAACCCAAAAACATTTTCTTAATAAAAAAAAAAGTTATAAGACTGCCTAACCCACCTAGACCCACCTAGGCTCGCCTAGGCAGGGGCTTATTAGGGCTATCAAAGCGGGCACCTAGACTTGTCTAGATGCTCTTTCTTATTTATTAAATGCCTAGACATTAATTTGGGTAGTGGTTGGTCATTTAGCGCCTAAGTTGAGTCTAAGCAGCCCTAGGCGAAGCTTTTGACAGTGTGGTGGGTGATCTTTTACCCCATCCCCATCAATTTTTTTTCTCATTTGTCCAGGGTTTGGATAGATTTATAAGTTTTTTTGTTAATTGATTTAGAAGTTTTAATCTTATTTTCTTGCGAAATAGTTTTTAATCTCAAATGATTAAGACAGAAGGAGGATTGGGAAATTGAAAGAGAAGAATTTGTTGATAGTATGAATTCCACGTTAGAGAAATAAGTGATCTTTTATGTGTTCATAAGTAGTTGAATTACTCATGATATTGCCAATTTATTTTCTGGTAAAACTTCAATTATATGTTCTAGTATTAAAGTAGGTTGCCTCACGTGCGTATGAAACCCAACAAACACACATACTCTATGTCACCCAATTTGTGTTATTCTTGTGTTGGGCTTGAAAATTTGTCAAGTCAGGGTAAGTGTTGAGAATATGAATATATCGATACTGATATCGGTTATCTTTGACGGAAGTTATGAAAATTGACAATGGAGTGCTTATATCTAAACTATATATTAATGAAACTCTCATTGTTAATCAAAATAGCATGAAAAGACATTTTTGTCTTATATTACAACAAAAAAGTTAAGGACAGTAATGTAATTTTACAAAATAAAATTTTGTTATTTTTTGTTCAAACCTAACATACAAATAATTTTATCATTCTTAAATTAATTAAAAAAACAAGAAACAAACCTCTCTCTCTTCTCACTTTCACATTCTCTCTCACTCACTTCCTCTCTGTTTCAATTAAACACAAAAATAAAAAATTTCACACACATTGCATGTGAATGTATACTAGTTTTATTATTAATTTAAGATAAAAAAACCCACTTTGTAGTACCCACGGTTCTCCTCTCCATCCATCACCCTTTCAATTTTTTATTCCCTTCGTTCTCTCCGTTTCATCACTCTCTTCCCTGTCTCTCATCGCTAAGTTTCTGATCTCTACTAATTAATAAAATATTTATTATCAATCAAAATTTTATAAAATTACTAGTTTAAGATTCTAATTAAATATGAATAAGAAATATGAAGCATAAACGTAATTTCACACAATCAAATTTTGCTATTTTTTTTTTCAAAATCTCACGTATATGTGATCCTAATATATATCTAAATTTTTTTTTACAAAAAAAAATTCCCACTCTCACATTCTCTATCCCTTCCCTCTTCTCTCCTTCTATTTCAAAAACAAAAATAAAAAAATTTCTAAAGCAAAACGTGTGCCACATGCTAGTTCTTATTACAGAAACCGGCCCCTCCCCTCGCTCGGCCTCTCTGCCACTCCCACGCCAGGTCCTCCGTCACTCTCTCTCCAGGTAGAATTCCTCTCTTTCTCTCTAGTTTTGTTTAATTTGGGATTTTATAGTTGTTTTGGTTGGATTTGATAAATTCGACGGCCAGAATTTTTCGATCGGAAGTTTTGACTCTCCGCCCCTAGTTCTCACCGAGCCACCATCAGGGTTTTTCCAAATAACCTCAGATATATATTTTTTTCTTTTCGATTTGAGTTCATATTTTTTGAGATCTGAACTGATCTCGCATGAGTCTTCATGGATTAAAGTTTTGAATTATTGTTTTTCTTTGTTGTTATTAATAATTGTCTCCGTGTGCAATTTTTATTAATTCATGTGATGGCTTGACGTTCTGCAGTGATGAGAATCTGTCTTCATTTTCGTTTTTCTTATGCTGATTAAAAACTACCGTTCCGTTGATTTGTGGTATTTATGCAAATATGGTTGAATAATCGATTTGGTCAGAGATGAAAGAAGAGTTTAATCAAGATGGAGTATATTCTGGAATTCTAGTCTTGGAGGAGTCGATTACAAAAAGCAAAGTTTATGTGGCCATTGATAGTTGCCGCCCAAGTCAGTGTCCCATTCTTCCTATTTCACACCAATGAGAAGGGTGTTCACTAGCTAGAATTCTACTTGCTTAAATTACGTTTTTGTTTGATATTTTGTATGAAAATGGCCATAAATCATTAAAAACAAATGATGAGTTACACATATATGAGTTAACTCATTATATATTTTGCCAGTTAGTACTGCAGTCTAATGATATTCTCCTTCATTTGTAAGTAACATGTTTTAGGTTCGATTCTCGTCAAAGACGAAGTTGAACCATATTATTAATTACCTATTGTGAGGTTTAGCCCACCCCCTCTCCCAGTAAATAATATCATCAACTCAAGGACATAATTGAAAGTTAATTGAGTGAGAAATATGATCAATGGGTTTATCTTGAAAACTAGGGATTTCTCATAAAATTAAAAATATGCTTGCGAATTGATTTATATATAGTTGTGGTGCCTTTATGAAACAACTTCTTAAACATTAACAAAAACAAATGGCACGTCTGTCATGTAACATACGTACCTGAGCAAATGAGATGACTTTGATTAACTTGGTCATCATTTTCCCGTTTTTGAACGTTTATACAAATATCATCAGTGGCAGGAATAGTCTTCTCAATGGTAGGCATTGGTTTTAATTGTATGGCTATCAAGATAAGAACACAAGGCCAGTTATATATTAATACAATAAACTAGTTCCTGGAAGCAAGATTCTTCTATTGCTGCGTCTAATAAGATTAAAAGAAAATAAAATGCTCAAGTAGGACAAAATTTAGAATGAAGAGAAAATGAAAAGCTTTACTAATCGTTATAAATCTATTGTTCCTAGAAACTGAGCGAGCTTCCACTTAAGAATGCAAACGGCATACTAGCTACTTTATCTAAGGTGTTTCCCCAATGTAGTTTTTAGCAATTGTTAACTCAGGGTTGTGCTGAATTTAATCTCACGCAATATCTACATATTATGAAGTGAAAGAAGAATAACATTGTTTAGAAATTATACATATGTTAAAACCCAACACAAAAGCACTGTTTATTAACAGTGAACGGACTAAAACGCCCTCCTAATTCTTCTTTGTGCGACATTTTTTGCTATTTTGCACGGTAAAAAGACCTTTCTGCCATGATTACCCACTATTCCCTTATTGCTCCAGCTTCGGAAAGAGAGATTTGTCCACGCTGCCCACGCGTCGATCATCCTCGACGACTCTGCTTCGACTTCTAGACTTTTCCACCTTTCCTTTTCACTTCTGTCTCTTTCACAATTCTCGGCTTATGTCGGTCTGAATCCTAGATTTCTTTCACTCCCAAACGTTGAGGTTCGTGACTTCGCCGTTGATTTGAACCCCACCAGCTTCGATTCCTTGGAGACACCCCTGCCACCTTTGCCGTAGTCGAATTCTTCGCTCACTGGTCAGCTTTTCTAATTTCTATGTAAACCATTGATTTTATTTGGGAAATAAATGGAACCCCGTATGTTTTTTGCTTTAAGTATTGATCTTTGAGCGTTACTCAGTAGATATTAGATCGATTGGAGGCTACCCATTTGAAAAAGAAGAGAGATCACATGGATGATGGATCATATGAGGTTCTCCAATTATTTGAGATCACATGGAAATATTTAATTCCGTATTTGTAATTCTTTATTGTTTCATTCAGTTCGTTAAATTCATTTAATTGTCTTTGTAATTCTCAGAAAACTAGAGAGGCCAGCCGGCCCTAACTTCCTTCTCTTTTGGTTAATCCTGTGAATTGGAGATCGGATCTCGCTGTTCTCTCTCTCTCATTTGGGTTTTATGCATTGCCATGGTGGTGGGAAGATTATGGAGAAGCTTTGAAAAACAGAGAGAGGAAATGAGCTTTAAACAGGTAAAGGAAACAAAATTGGAACAAAAACTTCCAGTGTTTATAAATGTGAGGTTTTTCAGTAAGTGTGCTCGTAAAAAGGTTTTAATCTTTCTTAGAAATATAGCTTTTTCAATTATGCAATGCTTTGAATGGAAAAAAAAAAAAAAAAAAAACCATTGTAATGTTAGTGTTTTGTGTATCTGATTTGTAACTACATTTTCTATTTCAGATTATTGTCAAAGCAGTATATATAAGTTACAAAGTGCTCTTGCTGAAATAGAAAAGAAAAAAAAAAAAAAAAGGTGAGTCAGGCTACCAAGAGTGTCAAATTTAGAATTTACAAATCTTTGTTAATCATATTGATAAGTGTTTATATATATATATATGCTATTTGTATGGTCCTTTAAAATTTTATGGCACATAAAATTATTTTCTTTGTATACACAGTGGAAAGCCTGTTGCTCATAGGTGCAAAACAGGATGTATGTTTATGTCATATAGGAAAAAAAATTAAGGATAGTATGATTAAAATCACTCTTTGTTTGGTTGAAATACAAATGCAAGAGCTTTACTCTAATTAGATAAATACTAGTCATACTAAACGTAATATAATGAATTTCAGGACTATATTTCTTGAATGTAATTTTCTAAACGCTGATGGCATTTGAGTTTACCTGCGATTATTCAAGTACTATTATCATTGTTTTTCTTCTTTGTTTAAAAATTGCCTCAACCTAAACTTCACCTGCAAGTTTTTATTCACCAGGTATTTGAAAGAAATAAGGAATTGACTCACTTCTTCAAAGCTTTGATGTCATATTTAATGCTGGGAGCTAAAACCTTTGCTCTCCTTCTTCAAAATGTTACTTTTGTGTGAGTTATCCTTATTTTAAAGTTTTCATATTTCATATTCTTCTTTGCACAAAATCACTGGTTGATTCCTCATTTCATGCGTGTATATATATATATTGCCATTTCTGCGATCATTTAATATTTCCTGCTGGATATAACCTCATTACATATTTGTGAAAGTGTTACTCAACATCAACTCTTATAAATGTGTCATGTTTCGCTGATTTAACCGTTTGGCGTTTGGTCAATACTTATTTTAGATGAATAACTAAATTTCATTTTTTTTAAGTACATTTTAAACTTGACTTGGAAAAAAAAAATGTCTGCCAACAAAACAATCTTAATACTTTTTATACAATTTTATCATTAAATACAGGAAAAATGCAATCTAGGTTTTACAGCAATTTCCCTGTGACAGGCAAATACTTCTTTGTTTTATGCTTGCCACTGTGTTGACAAACATGGTAAACAATTTAACCTCAGTTCATTTCTTAAATTTCATTCGCTTTTATCTTTTTCAATTTCAGGACAATAATTTTGAATCACACGTTATAATTAGCCTGCAAACGTGCATCTCTTGTTGACAACATGCCGATTCATATCATTTTCTATGCTTTTGGTAAGCAAACACTTGAGAGTTCAGAGTTTGATTCTCATTGGTTTTGTTTTGGAACTTTCGTTATTATCCAATTCTAACAAATGCTTTTTTGTTGTTTGTAGATCATGTGTTTAATCAATATTCTTCAAATTGTACAATTTTAGACCTCCTCACTAAAGACATTATTCATGCTAGACCTAGAGGATTCAATGGTATCATAAAAATTTAAGACTTTATCTGCTTTGTTTTCTTTGCATTTTTAAATTCAATTTTTATCTAATGCATGTTTATGTTTTCCAATTTTTACTATATATTTAAAATAAAGAAGCAAAACAAATCTGAAATACACACCTGCAAAACGTTGATGATGTTCCTATGAAATCACTGAAAAAAAGATCCTCTCCCAAGCATTACAAACTAGGGGCTCATGCTTTATCCTTATTTTCAAATTCTCGCTTTTCAATTTTAATCTGCAATTAAGTTTAATTTTTTGTTTATTCTGTGAGTTACATGCATGAGAATTCATTTGTCGTTTGTTTTCCCTGCATCTGAAAAATGCATCAATATGTAGCTGTAAAATTACATTTTGTTTTCTGTTTTAGATAAACCCTGCCTTTTTGTTTTTCCCAGTTGTATCTGCATCCTTGCAAGCTATCTATACTGAAGGTGAAAGCTTTTACCTTTACAGCTCTTGAACAACTAATGTAATTACAACTTTTAAACCTTTTTTTTTTTTTTTTTTTTTTTTTTTTTTTTTTTTTTTTTTCTTCTCTTGACATAATTGATCATTTGCAAACCAGGGTCACCAGGGTCTTCCATATCCACCTATACTTTCTCTCCAACTCTGCTGCACAATCATCAGTTCCAAATCTATTTGATTTCTCCTTTCCCGTTTTAATTGCACTTAATTAATAGTATTTAGATGTTTTTACTCTCGATTCATTTAGTTAGTCAAGGTATTAATCTTCTGCAGATTATGACTTACATTTTGTTGTTCATCTGTCTTTTCTTTTCCTATTTATGACACACCCTGTTCTGTGGCTGCCAAGCGTACTTGAAAAGTACTGGCATTGCAATTAGCTTGAATCTAATTTGAAAATTACGTTTTATGTACCAGTATTCCAAATATATTGCAATTTTTTCATTTGTGAGTCTTTTTTTTTTTTTTTTTTTTTTTTTTAAATTTTTTCTAGGCAAGTGAACGCTGATGTAATGCGTTGATTACCCAATTGCCATAATATAGCAGGCCTCTTCGTAGACAGATTGAAGCATTGCAGGTAAATGCAGAGTTGAATACCTTTTTACGGCATATTCTCAGCTTTTTAATGCATTTTCGATGCAGGTGTTTAATTTGTTTCAGTTAGACTTATGAAGTTTGATTACAGTCTTCACTTTCGATTGTACCCGTTTGGTGATGATTTACTTAGAATTTGTCAATCATTTTAATGCATGTAAGACGGTTTTTTCTTTTTAGGATGCTTTTCTAACCTTTAGACATTACTCGATTTGATTTTTTTAAATGGTACATGAATTTCCAACTTTGCTCTTTTAGTATGTTGTTACAGTGATTTAATTGATGTTTGTCCATAGATTTTTGCTAACTTTAATTCCCTCATTCTCACGTTATCTATAAATTGTTGTATGATTTTAATTTTAACTTCTTTGTTTTTATTTATTCCCATTTCTTCCATTGATACTCGATGTTTGCATTTACTAAAATTGCATCAAATTAACGCGTGATTGTACTGACGAAAGTGAGAGGATCAACTCTTTGCATAAAATTGTATCAGTTTATATAAAAATGTACACAAATGAAGGTAGAAATCTGTCTATGTTTCAAAAACCAATTTACTTAATGAATTTCTTTTATATATTTTCCATCTCTCTCAATAAGTATTCTTTAACAAAACTAAAATCTTTCAGTTGTAACAACCAAAGAGCCAGTTACATTTTCCTTTATTTGTGACAATTGATGTAGTAATTGAAACCTTTTTCAATTTTTAGTGTCTTTATGTTTTTCAGTTTTTACTTTTCTGTGTATATATTATGTCTTGCATTCTTTTTTTGGTTTTCAAACTACAAGTGGGTATACCAGAAGACTACAGCTTTCCATATAGTTTCATATTCTGTGATTAAATAAAAAATAAAAAAAACATGTAAAACTGTTGTACTTTGTTGCTAACCTTCATACACAATCAGGTCATGCTATTCATAAAGTGGTTTGAAGAATTCTAGGAGCTTGATTCACCTAATTTATCCTCTTCATGGAAAAATTCTTTCAAAAAGTTGAAGCATCTTTCATTGTAAATAACGTTAACCTTTTGTGATGATATTTTATCCCTTTGAAACATATTTTTTCATGTGCTTTTCAATCCTGCAGCAATGTGCGGGTAGTATTTCTAAACCTCTATATGTCTAGTCATAAAAATTAGTTTAGTCTCGCTCTCAACATTATTAATATGCAGTGGTTTTATAGTATTTACAGAAGGGAAAAATTAAGGCGCCACTAATAATAATTATCATTTGAATGTTCTTACCAAATCTTTTTAACAAAACACCGATAGTAATAAGTGTAGCGCAATCGGAATCGTTCAAGGTTTCGTGCGGAGTGACAGAATAGAGGTATTGAGCCATTTTTTCTCCTCTTTCAAAACCCTGAGACCTGAGAAGTGGGATGACATTGCAGCTAGGATTGGTGGTGCTGAGTAACTTGTTCTTTTCAACCATGTATTTTGCTAGTTCGACGCTTTCTAGTGCTTCGTCTACAACATAATGAAGACTGGAGAAACCATTAACGTCTTGTATTTCCAAAAGTCTTTTGGTCTCATTTAGTCCACCTATTTTCTTGCAATGTGCACCTTCTTACATAAGATTGCCATTTGAAGAACTGTCCCAGTCCTACCGTTTTTCGTAAGTCTTGCAGTTACTGCCTTGGGATGTTGGATAATAAACTCCAGTGCAGCATCCCATTCATCATTCTCCACCAAATCCCATAAAGTTTGATTAACGTGGCTGTCCTCGTGTCCTGCCAAGCTAGCTAACGTTATATATATATGACATAGTTGTTACCTTCATCACCAAAAGTAAACATAGAGACCATACAGTTGTTACATATTTTTCTTATTCTTCTTAATTTTAGGCTTTCTTTTATTATCACCCCCCATAACCACATTAAAATTTAATATTAAAGGACTTATATACCGTAATATGCAATGACAGCTTTGACCTCATAAAGTTCTAATTTTTTTTTTTTTCAAAATTTCTAAATACACCCAAATCACTTTTAGTGTGTATATTCCAAGTATATCCCTTAACATTGGATCCTGCTAAGTCTATCATAGTTGAAATCTAAGTTGTACTTTTGAAATATTGCAGTCAGGTACTTGCTTGTTTGGATATTCTTTTTCTTCAAAGGAGCGGATTAGTGTCTCTGGGCTTAGTAACAAGACTGTTAAAGTTGATGATATAGAAACTTGTGTCTCAGTAACATTGATATTATACTGTGCTATGAGATTGAGCACAAGATGCTTGAAGTTATTTATTACAAATTATAAGTTATAACTTGAGCAACTGAAGAAATATAACTAGTCTGTCATTATCCACTGTTAATCTCACGAAATTGGGGGCTTAGGTACAGTGGAATCCTATGACGGGAAATTTGCGTTTGATTCTAGCATTGAGCATTCAAATGAAATGGCCACTCTTAAGATTGAATGTCTTTGGCATCCAACATAATATCCGAGTTGTTCAAATTTTCAGCAGTATAGCCATTATCAAAGAGTAGGCTAGTTTCTGGGAAAGTATGAAGCAACCCAAAAATAATATTTGTGAAGTTAATGCGGAATCAATTC